TCTCAACGTTAGAATGTAAGAAGAGAACCATTTGCATTGTGTCTTGAACTATAGATCTCAAGTCCCTTTATCTAAATCGAAGGTCAAAATCAAAATTTCATCTAGATGGCAGGTCATTTTCATACATTCTTTTGCATGTTTTTCGAAGATGATTATTTTTAAAAGTATTTCGTCTTATACTTTATCGGAGAAAAAGACGTCCCAACTTCTTCTCTTTCAATTGATGAAAACCACAGGACGCTAGCTGCTGCCGTTATCGAGTTATTGCGCTTACACCCACCCCTCTTTCATTATGGCGCGGACATTAGTCTTAAACGGTATCGTTTGTTCACAACAAAACTACCCTCGCTAGATTCTGTTGAAACTGATAATTTTGGCAACTCATCATACGTCAAAGTTTATTGCATTCTGGTACTCCATGATACTCGAAAGTGAATGTAATGAAAGAACCTGTATGAAGAGATCGTATAGCTTTGTAAGTCCCTGAAAATCTATCAGAAAGCTCAAATGATTTCTTATATATTATTTTACCAATTGAGGAGAAAATTGTAAAAGATCTTGATGACTCCGGATTTCCTTAGCATGGCACATATAATCATGACCCAAATATTAGAACTTCAAAATGTATTAAGGTTTTCTCAACAACTATTATGTTGCTAATTGATATACTTATTTAAGTGTCTTTTTCTTCTTTGCGTAATAGTATCAATTACAACAACAACAACAACATTGGACACAACCACGATTACAACAACAACAACAACATTGGACACAACCACGATTACAACAACGACAACCCTGTCATGTAAGCTTTTTCTAATTTCATTTCAAAGTCTGACAATAATAAAAGAATCGTCTCGTTGCATTGAGTTGATTGGTGATTCCAGACCAATTTACAATCTAGAGCAAACATAAGCCTGCAATCACATGCACTCGAGCACTGTGTATACTAGTGATGGAACCAAGATGTTGCATTTGGTGGGTAAAGAGGAGCTGGTTAGCCCCAAAATTGTTTGACCTGTGCAATTTGCACTTTTTCTTGTATTTTAGGAACATTTTGAAAGGCAAAATAATTGATAATGTTCACAAGTATAGAATCCAAAGGAGAAAATGCGAAAATTTCGTACTACATTAGTACTTCACTGTATTTCAAAGTACCCTAAGGGTATGTCAATGTTATCCTCTAGAACTCTTCAGCTATTTGAAACTCTGCTATCAACGTATGTTGCGTGCATGTTAGTATGAATTCATTTCATATAAGTTTATCTGGCAATAAAACCAAAATACTTTATCGTACTTCTGAATTTGAGTGTCAGTGAAGTACAATCAAGTATTTGGGCTTTATTGCCAGACAAACTTATATAAAATGAACTCAAACTAATTAATATGCTCATGACATACGTTGATAATAGACTTGAAATAACTAAACAGTTCTATAGAGTACCTTGAACATACTCCTAGAGTATATAGAAGTACGATAGAAGTACGGCGTTTTCGCTTTTTTCCCTGAATTAATAACACGAAAATTAATACATTAGAAATGAATACTTTCAATCTGGCTTTCAAATTCTCCGATAGAAACCAACATTGAGATTTCTTGCTCCCGTGCTCCGACGCATCCTCGAGAACTTTTGTTTCCAAACTTTTTCATTCGGATGCCTCATTCTCTGGAAAATTGTGCAAAAGGATAGTCAAAAGATTTTTTCCGTTGTTCTCGAGCTTCAATGGAAAACTAGTTAAGTAAATTTCATAATTCTGACGTTTAGTGATAAAATTTTTCTAACGTCAAATGGCAAAGTTAAGTTTTCTTCGAAAAGCAGGTTCGAACATCGGTCGCATGGCTTTTGATTTTTCTAGCATGTTTTGTCCAAAAGACTAACTGTTTTAACAAAGACGGATCGAGTCTAACAAATTCCGTCAAATTTTGATCCAAGCCATCTCATTCGATAGAGAAATGAAAAAAGAAGAGACTGTGGTATTACTTTAAAGGATTATTGTTCCTAAGTCGATATATGATTGTTTTTCAATATCACTTAAGAACAATAGATTCAAAATCGATCAATTTTTTACTTGTATGACAATTTGTATGACTATTTAAACGCAGAATTGCTTTTATAGTACACCATTGAAAAGATCAAACCCATAAGGAATGTGTCTCTTATAATTTTGCCGATAACTTTGTAAGATTTCATTGCACAAACTCATGATTTATATCAGAATATATCCCGATTAATTATCTGTAAATCTGTGTAAATGATTTGATTTGTTAAAAAATTGTTACAAAGTTCGAAACAAAATTGATCATTCATATTTTATTAATAGCTCTCAGTCATCATCAGTTGATGACCTAAAGCATTTGATGTTTCAATGTGAATAATCTAAAACATATGTGTTCAGAACTTTCTTTGGAATTTAGGTTCATATTATACCAAAATAAGACTTCAAAGTTTGTGTTCATGATGAATTTTTTATATCACTCTACCGCTAAAGAAACATAGAATCTTTATTGTTTTATATTAGTGTCATATGAGCTAGCATTGCAAAGAAAGATCTGAAATCAGCATCTCAATTAATGGTTTTAATTTGATTTGAACAATGTATAATTCTATCCATTCCGGTTACCTTAAATGCTAATATATGTTTCAAATTATTCACATTGAAACAACAAATACTTCCGGTCATCAACTGATGACGGCTGAGAGTTATTTATAAAATATGAATGATCAATTTTGTTTCAAAGTTTGTAACAATTTGTAACAAAGTACCATTTTACAAAATACTTCAATTTACTATGCGTCAGAATTCCAAACATAATCTTTTGTGATAACCTTTGATTTTTTAATGGTTTATACAGATTTATAGAGAATCAATCGGGAACATATTGATATAAATCATGAGTGAATGTAATGAATTCTGGCCAAGTTATCAGGAAAATTACGAGAGATCCATTCTTTATGGATCACTCGCTGTATCAAAACCAGTATCTTTTTTTTAAACTATTTTATCATTGGGAGTAAAGCTACCAATTTCTTATAGACATATTAAGTTGTGATAATTTTTCACAAGATTTCTCGTATTCTCTTCTTTGCATAAATTAGGTTCTGTTTGAAACTTTTCCGTATAAAGTAGCTATGTTTTAAATCGAGATCATATCTCTGTTCTCGAACACAACACCGTTATTTTATGAATAAGTCGGAAACAAAAGCTGATTGATACTAAGAAAAACATATCAGATTCGTATTTTCTGAAATATTCATTCAATCTGTTGACATACTATCTTTTTTGCAACAGCAAAAAATGCCATACAAAACTGCATATAGTCTTCGATTGAAGAGCTACTTTTCTGAGAGGTTAGCTGTACTCTCTTTATGTTAGTATCCACCTAACTTTCGTTTCTGAATTATTCGTAAAATAATGGTATCATGTTCAAGAGAAAAGATATGATCTTGATTTGAAACATAATCAATTTATACAGAAAAACATTCTCTATAAAGTTGTAGCATTCGAAAAAATTTCAGACACAACATAATTTATGTGAAAGAGAGAATACAATAAATCTTGAAGAAGATTACGATAGGCTGATATATCTATAAGAATACGATAGCTTTACTTCCAATGATAAAATAGTTAAAAGAAAATATACTATTTTTGATATAGTTTTCACACTCTTTCAAATAACATCTTGAAAATTAAGAATCAATCGCGAAAACTAAGATAAAATATATGTTATTTTATTAAGTATTCATAGTATCCTCTGAAAATTATCCATAATCGATAATTTTTCAACAGAATGCTGAAACGAAAATTGGTTTAGTGTGTAGAGAAATAGTTGATCTTTTCAATGTTATGCTATAAATAGAATTCCAAATCAAAATAGTCTCACAGACTATCGTAAAAGCAAAATGTTGATAAATTTAGGAACAGTTGAAATAAGTCATCCTTTACATATTTGCTCAGTAACGATAAAAGAGCAGGATGGTTCGCCTTCAATTGCTGTGCACATACATATACTATATGATAATGGCTACAATATGGATGAAATCAAACCATGATGACTGATGTTGTTGTCGAGATATGAATTTACCAGAAAAATTCACTCTATTTATTGATCAACTGTGAAAGCTATTGTGCTTAAGTATATTGAAAAATAACATATCTCGACTTTTGAGCAAAAATAAGAAAGAAGTGATAATCAAAGCTCCTCATTTTTTATATCCTCTATCGAGTGAGAGTACCCGAAAAAATTATCCGACAATATTTTCGGCACTAGATCCATGTTTGACAATCTCTAATTACTTCACACTCCACTGTTGTTGTTTTTTCTCAAAACTTTGACTCGACGAAAAACCTAGATTGTAAATTAGATTAGTTTTCTATTTCCAAAAACCGTATGGGTTTCATTGCTTTACAGAAGCTGATGATCGACATCCGTGATGAAGATCAGGCCTTAAAATGATACTATCATTTAATTTTGAAAGCAGGAATTTGTTGAAAAGCTTGAAAATAGTGGCAAAACGTGTTGAAATGATAGCTATTGGTAATTTTTCTCGACTGCTACTGTCTTAACGGATGTTTTTCTGTGCTACAACTGACTGAGATATTTTGCACGAGATAGATTAGTTTTACTGAATTTCTGATAAAATAATTTTCAATTCGAAAATTAATGTCATAAAACCACTGTTAACTTGAAAATTGAACCTTTCTCTCTATATGAACAAAGAATTTCACACGAGTGCTTGTTTTTGTATATGGGGTTGTGTATTGATACTGCTAATTCCATATCTGTTCAAGATATCTGTTGTTGTGGGTGCATAATCTTTTCGACAGTTTATTCTTTCGAATAGGAAAAATATGAATCAATATTGTCTGCTATTTGAGCAGCATTGTGAAGTAACATATCGATCAATATCTTTCTCATAAGAATTATGCATAGATCCCACGTGTAAACCAGATTACTCACGCATTGATGCTTCTTTGCAGGTTGGTCATACACAGGCAATATGAGTATTGCACGATATTTTCACACTGCATCCATCTTAACCAATGGAACGGTTTTGGTTAATGGTGGATTTACCGCTGGCCGTACGTATACTGTTACTACAGAACTGTATGATCCATCCACAGGAATGTGGACGAATACTGGCAACATGATTAGTCCACGACGGCTTCACACAGCTTCTGTATTAAGAGATGGAAAAGTGTTAGTTGCTGGTGGGGAAATTGGTTGGGAAAATTTAGCGAGTGCAGAATTGTACGACCCATCAACAGGATCGTGGACAAATATCGGAAACATGAGTACAGCACGAATGGGTCACACTGCATCGATATTAGCAAATGGGTCAGTCCTAATTGCTGGTGGGGCAAATGAACACGTACTTGCAACGAGTGAATTATACAATCCATCAACAGGGTTATGGACAAACACTGGCACCTTGACGGATGCACGATATGAGCACACTGCATCTGTATTAACTGATGGAAAGGTGTTAGTTGTTGGTGGATATACTGCTGGTCGGCTTCTTAGTGCAGAATTATACGATCCATCAACAGGGTTATGGACAAAGACTGGCAGTATGAAGAATGCACCAGTTTCTCACACTGCATCTGTATTAACTGATGGAAAAGTGTTAGTTGTTGGTGGACGTGATTTTGGGGTTACATTAAATAGTGCAGAATTATACGATCCATCAACAGGATCATGGACAAACACTGGTAGTATGCATCGTGCACGACTCTCTCACACTGCATCTGTATTAACAAATGGAAAAGTGTTAGTTATTGATGGAGTTGGTGTTGGTGAACTTTCTAGTGCAGAATTATACGATCCATCAACTGGGATTTGGACACAAATCAGAAGTTTGCATGCTGATAGACACCTTCACACTGCATCTGTGTTAAAAAATGGAAACGTTTTAGTGGTTGGTGGAGCCCGTGAGCTCGACTATCATCTTAATAGTGCAGAACTCTATGATACATCAATAGAAGTTTGTACAGATGCTACGAGCAAAAATATTAAACAAGTGAAGAATACGGCATCAATATTAAACAATGATCATGTCTTATTTCCTGATGATCACCATGACTTTGATTTGAATAATACAGAACTGTTTTCGTGAATATTATTACATTGATATGGCTTTTATGTGACTAAAACTTTCAATTGATTTCTCGTTGTCATTAGAACCATTTGCTCTAGTCTGTAAAAAGAAAAAAAATCCCTTTGGTTTGGAAAAATGTGGCCCTAGATATGTTACACTTTACCGAAATCCTGGTTCCGGTGAAAAAAAAGCAAAGTGTAATATATTCAAAATTGTTTCGTTTCAAATAGAACGGATTTTTTTACAGAGTACAATGCTTCAGTAATACTGTCGTTATTAGTTTCTCAATAAACTGAACATGCTTTCGTTGAAAATAAATGTATGTCGTAGCTTTTTCATTGCTTATCTAAACTCGAGTTTATCTCGATTATTAATAAAAATGAATCAAGGAACTGCGAAACAAGAATTTCACAATACACAAAGAAACACTAGAAGAAAAGTTAGAAGAGTATCGAGATAACGAGAGGCAGCAAAATAAACTGTTAAATGTGTTCTACAACAGAGCATACTGATTGAGAGTGTCTTTATCAGAGTATCCTCTTCAGAGTTGGGACTAAAGTTCTACAAATTGGCCCGTAACAGAGTATATGTACGGGTACGAAAATAGTAGATACGAGTCGGAAATGGATCCAGGATGTGTTGATACAGACAACCCTCAACTTCAGTCTATTAAGACTTTACTAGTTCAAACCCTGTTGACATGAAAACATTGCCTGTAACTAGTTGCATTATCCAGTCAACGATAAAAAGAAAAGAAAGCGGTAGGTCATCGGAAAAGAGCATAAAACCCACTTTTTTTCTTTTATTTCAACGAAATATTTTGACAGCCATTCAATAGATAAGTATTGGTTGCATTATATCAGTTGGCAATCAGAAAGAAATTTAATACTAGCAACTATAAAGCATATGATAGACCCAAAACTACAACAGGCAGCTGATGGAATTCACTCAGTTGAATCAAAGATGAGAAAGACATGATTTTGTCATTTACTTCACATTTGCAGCATGAAATCGTACTGAGTAATGACGTACACAGCGCTGGGTCTATTATACTTAAAGGTCAGTAGTAAAATTGTAAAAGACAGAATGATTTGATACCTAGCATGACCACACATTCCAACAACGGCAAATATGTCGGTGTATGGTTCAATCTGAAAAACGCAATCACAGACGTTTGTACAAAATTCTGTTCGGAAAACACGCGGTCATTGATTTTGAAGTGTTAACACAATATCTGCTAGACGCTGATCATTCCACTGAGAATCGAACCAATGCTGCAAGTGTTCCACTAACTCTGACCACAATCATTTTGCGATTTTACCAATTTCTCATGAGTCATCAACGGCGCATACATTTGAACAAAATAAAAACATAGATATTGTAGATGTCTGGAGTGCATTGATCCTAGAACAACAATCAGATGGGTGTGGGTGTGAGTGGGTGTGGATGTGGGTGTGGGTGTGAGTGGCTGTGGCTATGGCTGTCGGTCTGTATGGGTCTTCTCTTCACCCACACCCACATCCACACCCACACCCACACCCACACACCCACACCCACACCCGCACCCTTCGAACGATAGCACGAGCCTATTGAATGGCTGCATTTCAAAATAAATCCTGTGTTGCTTTTACGAAGCGTTTTTCTTCAATCAAGACTGCTTTTCTTTGAAGAAAAATATAATGCTGAGGTAAGCGGTAGAGCAATACCTAATTTCTAATTATTCAAAGAATATCTGATGCGTTTCTCAAGTGGGTGTGGGTTTCGGTGTTCTATTCATCCTTTCCACACCCCATATTTAGATCACGCTCAAAAAAATCCAAAATATGCTTTCAGCAATACTAGCATATGGAAATGATACTTCCAAAAAAAAACAACTTGATACTTCATCGGCACAGTACACAACATGATATGAATTAATTGACATAGTAATAACATCAAAACAAATCTTTGCAAAACAAATGAAAACGATTTTTTGTACCCATTGATTTAATTATATATCTCATATTGTTTTATTAATATTCCTAAAATTAAAAGGTATATAAATATGCTCTATTATAAAATAGAATCTTCTTGAAATGGTGAATAATTGAAGGATAAATCATTTTTTTAATTCCACATATCTTTTTGAGAATTTTCTCGTCGGATATAATTTACGCGCAGAAATTCACAATTATCTACAGTTGAGACTTACGTTAGTTACAATCTCTATTCTTACTAAATATGAAGTCTTCAAAAGAAAATTTTTCGTAAGAATATTTATCCTTCAAGTCTATACTTTTACTAATAGATTTTAGATTGATATAAAAATCTAGATAGAATTTCCTGTTAAATCAATATTTTCTATAATTAACTTTCAGAAAAAACTTTGAAGATGATGAAATCTCTAAATAAGGTAATCAAAAAAGACTGTCATTGAGCGAACATTATCTGACATGAATGAATTCAACGTTGGTAGACTCCATCGTCGAAATGTGTATTTTAGCGGCTAGGTTTTCTTGCTAGATCCATACGTCATTACACAATTTCATGTGCCTCTACGATGATGTCCATATTTTCTCTTAATTCGTTGGATTCTCTTTAATGGTGCCCACAGTCTATGAAATTGCTTCATTTTTTCCAATTCAAGAAGAAGAAAAAAGTTCGTTAATCATGAACGATGAACATTCAGTAGATTTGGTAGTTCTATTTGAAAATTGTGAATCTAATGTCAACACAAACATCTTAGAAGAAATCAAACCTGATTATGAACCTATTCATTTACCTTTATCAATAATTGAAATTCTAAAAATCTGGACGAGTTCTTCATGTGAATCATCATCGCATCGTATTGGTATTTCTCCTTGTGATTATTTTTCATTAGATACAATGTTTATTCATACATGGGGCCAATCACATGTTGAACAACCCTATCGTTTGACCGCAATAATTGAACATTTACACAACTATTTTTGGATTAATCATCACTCACGTTGGAAATGTATTGCAGGACGAATGATTAGCAATGAAGAAACTCAACTTGTTCATTCCAAAATATTTCTATCAGAATTTTTGTCTGTTGAACGTGGAGAAACAATTGATGATATGCCATCAATACGAACACTTTCATACGCTAATGCTCGATATAATTTTAAAAGTGTAGGTCCAATCATAGCCCGTGCATGTCGAACAGCAGCTGGTACAACAGTTAATGTAATTTCATCAGTTGCTCGATGTGCAATTGATTTTGGTTTTGCTTTTGTTCGTCCAGCTGGTCATCATTCATCAACTGATCAAGTTGGAACATTTTGTGGTTTGAATTCTGTAGCAATAGGTGCAGTATATGCTGTTCGGATTCTTCAATTAGATCGAGTTCTTATTTTGGATTGGGATGTACATAGAAGTGGAGGTACTGAACAAATTTTAGGACAAATATCAAATGAAGATCAAGAAAAATATCGTCTTATTGATATGTATGCTGCATTTGGAAAAATGTCGAATTCAACATCTGTACTTTTCAATTGCCATCTTATTGATCTTTATGATAGAAATCAATTACCTGGTGACGATGAATATCTTAAAATCTTTGATTTTAAGATTTTGCCTGATATAAATCAGTTTTCTCCTTCGTTAATTTTAATTTCAGCTGGTTTCGATGCAGCTGAAGGAGAAGCTGAGACATGTGCTCGACTAAAACCAAATGGATATTTTCAAATGACAAAAAAATTAAAAGAATTAAAAATTCCTTTAGTATTCGTCTTAGAAGGTGGCTATCAACAGCAACCTTTAGTTCAGTCGATAGCAGCAGTATTTCAAAGTTTACTCGATCTATAATGAAATTCATTTTGAAACTGTACATCTTCAAAGACAGATCAGATTGGTTTTAAAATATTGTTACTGTTCATAAGTCAAACGAAATAGAAAATTGTATGTCCATTTGGATGGGGTTTGAGTGTGGGTAGAACTTAGAATACCCATGCCCAGTCAGTCATAGAACAAATAAGTCACCTCGAGAACAAAACACTACGTTCTAATCGGAGGATCATCAGGAATTGCACTAAAATAAACAAATTTCTACTTAAGTGTTGCAACGAAATTCTTTTATTGGTGTAAAGCATAAATCACTGGGACTATCAAGTCCAATGATAAAACCATAATATTTTTAAAATCAAGACATAAAGAGTTTTGTGCTCCCACTTTCTATTACTTTTTCAAGGTTTTCAGTGCTATTGCTCAAGAGAGAGGCATTTTGAACTACCCATTGGTAATGATTTCGAACGCATTTTTCAAGACACTATAATTACAAAGTCACATTTATTCTGTGTAACGATTTTTTATCATGCTACTGACGAGGGAACATATCCAACTGATTCCGAGCTTTCGGCTTCATCTTTTGGCTACAGGTAGGCCTCAGTGAGACTAAGAAAACCCTAGAAGCGTTCGTTCCTGTTAGCGTCAACAGATGACACTATGTCGACGCCAACTTAATTGAACTAAGTTCAATTGGTTTCCTCTTTGTTTTCTCATTTGTCGATTTTTCCTTTTCGTTCTGTAGTTAATTGGATTTT